GTTTGCATCCACATGAATATCTGAAGGTTAAAACTGAGGAGGCAAAGCAGATACTAGAATCTCATCTCCGAAATATTTGGCTGTGATATTTAGGCTCCCTTAAAAACCTTTGGGTGTTCAATAGGAGACTTTATTCAGAACCTCAAAATCACCGAATGAGGCTGCAATAGCACTTCGACTTATATACCGCTTCACCACTGTAAAGCCCTAAGTGGTTTACAGAGTCATCAAATTGCCCCCAACAATCTGGGTCCTCATTTTACCCACCTCAGAAGGACGGAAGGCTAAGTCAACCTTGAGCCAGTGAGAATTGAACTGTCGAACTGCTGGCAGCTGCCAGTCGGGAGATGTAGCGTGCAGTACTGCATTCTAACCACTGCGCCACCACAGCTCAAATCATAGTCCTAAAAAAATTTCCGAGTCAGCCTTGAGCCCTGTTAGAAATGAACTGCAGACTGTGGTCAGAATTAGCCTGCAATACTGCATTCTAACCACTGTGCTGCCACGATTACTAGCAGAGGTCTTTAGAGGATTTTATGCATCAGAGGTGAAGGGATTATGTTACATTTGTGCTCCTTCTCTTCCAATTTTAGCTCTGACATGGAGCATATCATATATTTAATCATATTAATTAGGGGACTGAAGACTAAAACATACGAAGAAAGGTTGAAGGAACTGGGTATGTCTAGTTTAATGAAAAGAAGGACTAGGGGAGACATGATAGCAGCAGTGGTGAAATGTAAAATTTGTCGCTACCGGTTCTGTGGGCGTGGCTTGGGGGGTCATGTGACTGGGTGGATATGGCCAACTTTTTTTTTTTTTGCTTTTTTACAGCATTTTTTTTTACTACCAGTTCAGGCAAATAGGTAGTTTAAAAATGCTTTAAAAAAGTTTTTTTTTTTAAAAAAAAAAAAGGTTTCGACGATCACAGCTGTGCCGTGCGATCGTCGGAACCATTTTTTAATTTTTAAAAGCATTTTTTTTACTACCGGTTTGCCTGAACCAGTAGTTTTTATCACTACCGGTTCGTCCGAATTGGAGCAAACTGGTAGCATTTCACCCCTGGATAGCAGTGTTCCAATATCTCAGGGGCTGCCACAAAGAAGAAGGAGTCAAGCTATTCTCCAAAGCACCTGAGGGTAGGACAAGAAGCAATGGGTGGAAACTAATCAGAGAGAGAAGCAACTTAGAACTAAGGAGAAATTTCCTGACAGTGAAAACAATTAATCAGTGGAACAACTTGCCTCCAGAAGTTGGGAATGCTCCAACACTGGAAGTTTGTAAGAAGATGTTGGATAACCATTTGTCTGAAGTGGTGTAGGGTTTCCTAATTAAGCAGCGGGTTGGATTAGATGACCTCTAAGGTCCCTTCCAACTCTGTTATTCTATTCTGTTCTGTTCTGTTCTGTTCTATATATCATATATCTAATCTAAATGTAAATGTAAATGTAAATGTAAATGTAAATGTAAATGTAAATGTAAATGTAAATCTTATCTGTCTGTCTGTCTGTCTGTCTGTCTGTCTGTCTGTCTGTCTGTCTGTCTATCTATCCATCCATCCATCCAGATTTTAGCACTTTAAACCAAAACTTCACAGCAATAAGAAACAATCATTCTTTGAATAGGAAAGAAAGCAAGAAATTGATCATCAGATCTAACTGAATTTATTGATACCTCTATTGCTCATTCGTTTTTTACCCTTGTTCTGAAATATTTCTTTTCTCATCAACTGTCTCATCTCATCTACAACTCAATCCTCAATTCTTTCAGGAGCAAAAGGGCAGCTGGTTTGTCCACGAGCTCTCCTGCTAAGCCTGGAAACAGTAACATGCACCAATTTCATGACTGATGTTCAAAAGCAGAGCAGCCTAAGAAACAAACATTGTTATTTTTTCGTTGGGTTTTATCAACTGCCAATGCATTTGATTGTCTTCGTGGGCCACTTGAGAGCTGGGAAAAAAAAAAAAACATTGCTTGGGATTTTACCAACCTTGGCAATACCATCTTGGGCGACAGCTCTTTGATTCAGGAGAGAGATCAAAAGAATACAACTGGAAAGTCGAGCTTTTGAAATAGCTTCCCATCAGGCCCTCCACCAGCATCCTAACTAACTGTCAACCGAATTGATCTCCGCTTTTACATGGCTGTGGAATACGGGGCAGATGACTGCAAGCACATCATCCAAATTGAAAGACTTCACATGAGCTATCTTGCAGGTCTCCTGACGAAAGACTGTCAGATTTCACAGCTGTTCAGAGAATGAAAACAACAGATCATAAAGACCTTGATCTTGGTGAGATTGTTTCTTGCAATGACCTGCATCAATGTTACACTCGTGCTCTAATCCAGGGTCCTTTTCGGATTTAGCCATCTTAGATTGCTGGTTGGCTATGATGTTGGATTGTTTCAGAATAACATGCCCCTACGGTTATTACCTTATATAAAGCTTAGCATGCATAATAGGAAGAATGGAGAATAGATACAGCTCACTTAACAAGGTTATCTATTCCTTAATTGTTTTAACGATAGCGTGACAACTACAGCTAAATCTTCCTTCACCTCCAGCATATTATTAAAATGCAGAAGCTTAGGCTAACAAAAATTGTTTACTCTAGGAATATTTATTTATTAGTTTGATTTATTAGTTTGATTTATATGCTGCCCTTTTCCGGAGACTCAGGGCGGCTTACAATGCTTTTAAGCAATAGCCTTCATACTTTTGTATATACCTCCTTAGTAGGGCTTTTGGCCTCCCCTAAGCAGTGTTCTATTTTATACAAAGTCAGTTTATTGCCCCCACAAACCGGGTCCTCATTTTACCTACCTCGGAAGGATGGAAGGCTGAGTCAACCTTGAGCCTGGTGAGAATTGAACTCGCAGTAATTGCAGGCAGCTGGCAGCTAAATACTACTTTAACAGTAGTTTAGTCCACTGCAACACCAGGCTCCTAAGTGGCTGTCCAGTTGTGAGGGTTCTGACGGATTCCCTAATTAAGGATGCCCTAATTAGTTCATGAGCCTCGAGCCAGGTTTCAAAAGAAATCCAGGTGTTTATTAGGAGCAACATGTCGGCACTTATCCAAGTGGAGTCAGCTCTGTCCCACGTAATTTACGGCCCCACTGTGACCTTGTTTCACATTCTCTAATGGAGCACTTTTGCGGGCTGTAGAAAACATGCCCCTTCTTCTGGCTCTGGTAATCTGGGATACAATATGGAGAAAGGTATGCATGGAATGCATGGAACGTGCTTCTGTTTGTGGTAGCCAAGGTACTCCATCAGTTTCTCCCCCCGCCCCTCCCTTGCCTATGGCAACTCGAGAGCAGGCCTGGAATGCTTTGAGTTGACACCAGTCCCTTCTCCAGTGATGAAGCACCCTCAACCTTCTGGTGCTTTGGAAAATAAGCTGACCCCTTCTTCTTTGTGGCAGCCCCTCAAATACTGGAATACTGCTATCATGTCACCCCTAGTCCTTCTTTTCTCTAGACTAGCCAAACCATAATCCTGCAGTCGTTCTATCCATAGACCCTCTTATCATTTCAGACAAAGGGTTGTCCACTCTCTTTTTAACCTCCAATGTTGGAGCACCCATAACCTCTGGAGGCAAATCTTCCCGTTGATTAATTGTTCTCACTATCAGGAATTCCATTGAAATGTTTGGGTTTCCAATCCTTGAATTTTAATTTTTTTTTAAAGTTATGTTTCACCTGGCAGAACCACAGCTAAATAACTTGTGGAAATCATGCAGGACTTGCATTGATGTGATGGGGGGGAAAGGAAGATTATTATTATTTTGTTCCTGTTTTTATTTGAAGAGTTTCTTTCCTATGGCAATCTACAGCTGGGAGCAAATCTCTGTTGTGCTGTTTTATTTGCTCTTTTGCCCCGCTACATTTTTTTACACTTCTTCCTAGAATCAAAGCTTTGTAAGAATACTTTTGGGAATTCTCCAGATAAGAATTTAGATAACCACTCTGTTAATCTTAAAAGGGAGCCTCAAGTTGATTAGCTGCCTCTATCTCTAATGCCTCTTATTTGTGTTGGAAATTAGAATCTATTTTTGTTACACCCTGTGATGTTGTCTCCTATACTAATTCTTCCATGTTGGAAGGACCAAAGCAGGGGTGAAATCCAGCAGGTTCTGGAGAACTGGTAGCAGAAATTTTGAGCAGTTTGGAGAACTGGCAAATGCCACCTCTGGCTGGCCCCAGAGTGGGGTGGGAATGGAGATTTTGCAATATCCTTCCCCCAGGAGTGGGGAGGGAATGGGGATTTTGCAGTATCCTTTCCCTGGACTGGGGTGGGAATGGAGATTTTGTAGTATCCTTCCCTTGCCACGCCCACCAAGCCACACCACGCCCACCAAGCCATGCCCATGGAACCGGTAATAAAAAAATGTGGATTTCACCACTGGACTAAAGTGCTTCTGTGATGAAAGGATTTGCCGCTGGACATCCAGTTGGGAGCTCATTTCATGTCCCCATGTTGCCCACCAAAGTGGTACCCATTTATCTACTCTTGGTTGCCTTTTGAACTGCTGCCTCAGCAGGAGCTGAAGTGTGTGACGGGAGCTAGGTTGGAAGAAGCTGGGACAAGTAACAGGAGCTCACCCCGTTACGCGGCACTAGGGATTCGAACTGCTAAGCTGCTGACATTTCGATCGACAAGCTCAGCATCTTACCCACTGAGCCACTGCATCCGAACTGAAATCTAGTTACTGATTAATATTGGCGACTAGCAAACAGTGTTATCAGTGTATGATCTGATTAGCAAAGGACTCTTTTTTAAAAAATTATTTCTCAATCCTCATTTTTCAGGATAAGCTCTCTTCCCAAAACGGTTCTGTTTGTGAAAACTTCCCCAAGTTTTCCATTGCGTTCTCAAACTGCTACTTTCCTTCTTTGAAGCATTCATTTTGGTGTCACCAATTGTTCGAAATCGAATGGCGACATTTTATTATCTTATCACAAAAAAAAAAAAAATCTCAGGAACTCAAGGCAATCTGAAACAAAGCAGACTGATTTTAATATGTTCAATGAGAGCATTGTTATATTCTTAACGTGTATCAGCAGCAGTTGACAGTTGAAAAAGAATAGAATCGTTTTAGATTTTTTTTAAAAAAAAATTAGTTATTACAGAAGGCATTCTCCATTCTAAACAAATATATATCTAATCAAGCAAAAAGAAAATCCACCCCCAAAATCTTTAATGGTGTTAAAAATATTAAATATATACAATATATTTGAAAGCAAAAGCAATTTCTTTAAAACAAGTTTAGAAGATCAGTGGTTGACCCAGCTCTAAAATAATTGAAACAAGTTTTCATTTGCAAATAAGGAATGTTGGCATTACATAGAAATACTTTAGGCTTTTTTTTAGTGCACATTAATAATGTACTCGTCTTATCAAAAATATTTAATACCAGCCAAAAGAGAATTTCGTGGTTAATGTTTATTGAAATAGATCTGACCTAGAAGTTGCTTTTAACTAGATTGAAATTTAAATACAGCTTTGAAAGCTGTTTGCCCAAAGCAGGTGGAAAAATGATCAGCATGTGTATATATATATATATATATCCCCAGCCCCAAATATTCTTTCTTCAAACTTTTTAAAGTGCAAAGTTTTGTGGCTATTACTAGCAAATATAAAGATCTGAAGAATGTCATGCGTTCTGAAAAGCTTGTGGAAGAATTGCTTGGAAAAAAAAGAAGATTATTTAATGAGAAAATAACAGCTCAGATTAGAATCAGGTCACAGAAAACAGTTGGTGTCAAATAGACGTTTTTGTTGTAGTTATTCTTTCAGTGGTATTTATTCAGATGTGGGAACCATCAAGTATTGGAAGCTCTCACACTTTTAAATGAAACATTTTTTTAAGTATTAGAGCACAGTAATAATAATATTCCAGATTTCTGCTTGTATGCAGTTTTATATATGTTAGAATATACATAGCAAGTACCTCATGTCTTACTTAACATGTTGATATAATGTGGTATAGTGAGGCTTTTACTGCTTATAATAGCATTCGTGATTATTAATACAACTTTAGAATAATGCTAGAAGCAGAACTGTAGAATGGGAAATTGACCTTAATATACCGATATACATTTAAACTGACACATCCACACTTCCAGGACTGACTGCTAAGCTATGAAACAAGAGTGGCAGGGTCAAACTAACTGAGGAGTGGCAATTTCTGAAATGTATTTCTTAAATTTGTTTGCTATCCATCCAGGGATGGGCTGCTGGGGGTTTGGGATAAACTCTAGCTAAGATTCCATGCAGTTCGGAGATTCCTGGCTGGCCCCGCCCATCCTGCCCCTCCCCTCCAAGGAGTCCCCATGTGGCCCATTCTGGATGCAGGTAAGTACGCGGAGACTTGGGGAGAGTGAAAAACAGGCCTACTGGAAGTTTGAGAAGGCAGGAAAAAGGCCCGTTTCCGCCCTCCAGAGGGCCTCCGGAGCCTGGGGAGGCTGCTTTTGCCCTCCCGGAGGCTCGAGAAAAGCCACCGGAGCCCAGGGAGGGCAAAACACCCCACCCCCCGGCCATGGTGCAAGAGGCCGACTAGGCCACGCTCACCATGGCCACACACACCCAGCAACCGAGCAGAGAACCCCTTGCTAAAATTTTTGAAGCCCACGGCTGTTTTAGGTTTGGGAGATGTGTTATTTGCTTTATCTTCATTTCTATAATAAAATAGTAGTGGGCGAAGAAACGAAGAGAAACTATGTTCTTCAGTTCAGGGTGGTCTCATTCGAATTCAGATTTTCAGGTTTAGGATGTATTAGATTTAAACTTCCTGACCCAGTGTTAGTTTCTTTTTAATTGAGAAGAAAAAAAAGAAAAGAATAGTCCTTGTGTAGTAAAACAGCATTCTGAGATAGTATCTATATACAACATTATGCATGTATGTATGCACGTGGGTATATAGGTATATAACATTAGAGGAGTGTATGTGTTTGTGTTTGTGTGTGAGAGAGGGGGAGAGAGAGAGAGAGAGAAAGGGAAAGGAAGGAAGGAAGGGGGGGAAGCGGGAGGGAGGGAGGAAGGAAGGAAGGAAGGAATTAGTACATGGTGATCAGAACTGATAGGTAAACTTCAGTCATAGTCATCTACATACACAGATCTAGAAGCCATTTAAGGTGACTTATTTATAAATTTTTCTTAGTGGTTTGATTACAAAGCATCAGTCAGACCAAAGTGGTTTGATTACAAAGCATCAAAGCAAATGTCTACAAAAATTAGCAAAATTTTATTTCCATCTTCACGCTATCACTTAGATGCTGGGTATGATGGTTGCAAGATCAAAGCGCAAACTATGTTTATAGCCTCTTAAAACACCTGTGGCCAACTTTATTTGAAAAGCGAGTAGTACAGAGCAAAACCTTACTTATTTTTAAGAAAATGAAAGTGTGTATGTGTGCAGTATGTTATATGATTTGCACAACAGTATAAAACAACAGAATTTAGCTTTCTTTCATACATCTAATGAGAGTTTTAGAATAATACTTACAAACAGCTCTATATGCTATGGATATTTTAAAGCCTCGCCATTAATTTCTGACTTTTTTTTCTTGGTTTATTCTTTTAAATCTTTTTCCCTGCACACAAATATATATATATTATATGTGTGTATATGCAAATGTCCATGCATTTATACGTCTCTGTGTGTATTTGCAAGCAATGAACGCATTTGGTGGTTTTTTCCTTCTTAAAATTAGCAAATAAGGCAAGGCAGATTTGGAAGATGTTTTGACTTTTAGACTACATTTTCCTAAATCACCAAGTAAACATATGACAAAACAGGAATCACATCAATAGCAAAATCAAGGTTGTTTTCTTGTTTGTTTGTTTTTTTTAAAAAAACCTTGAAAGTTTAAAGTGAATAAAAAGTATCAAAAGATTCAACAATCCAACATGAAGTTCAGAAAATACTTCTTGGATTTTTTTTTTTTATAAATACAAATATCCTCTATTTACAATATATATTTTTCTCTTTGCTTTATTAAGGTACATGTCTTTTAATTTACATAAAAATATTCCAGCAGAGTGAGTGGGCTGAGAAAGTACCAGAACATGTTTAGAGAATATGCTGCATTTGTTCCATTTTAGATTTTTTTTTTCTCTAAAATCTCTAGTTGCAAACGACTGGTTGGCTCACCAGCAAAATGTCAGGAAATGAAAAAAATAAAACAGCCAAAATCGGTAATGTTCAGGAAAAAAAAAATTCTGCATCAAGTAAAGAAAGTTATGTTTAAGACGCTCTGATAATGGTGTGAACGTTTTGGCTTTCAATTAGTAGGAAATGACTTATGTCATCTCTGAGTTTCACTGTATCATTTGTAAACGCCGTATATCGGAAAACATTTTGGCCATTCACATAAGTTATCATTTTGACTTTATGTATGAAACGTAAGGTAAATCTGACTGATAGGAACATCATTGTTTGCCTATTTATAAATTCTTACAAAGATCATTTCACAATGCTTCCTCTTTTAATAAAACTGTTAGTGATTGTCAGAAACATCTGTTAGCAATATGTCAAGGATACTAGTACGCCTAGATGACATCCTATTTCTACAAAACAACAGATCGTATCGGTCCCCTGTGAAATTAGTAAGAGTTTTTGAACTTTATGCCAGATATAAGTAAAGCCGTCAAACAACTCCACAACTTTGCTTGATAAGAAAGTACCTACTGAGGTGTAGGTTTTGAATTTAAGAGATTGAAAGGTCCTCAGACAAGGTTGACCTTCTTTCTTTAGCTGGAACGCTTACAAAGACATCTAGTTGTCTACTGTAAGTGTTTAACTTCTATAAGAAGGTTCTTCAGCTTGCCCTGTGTTCTTTGGAACAAGAGTGGGCAGTATTGTAAGTCATTTTTTTCTTCTTGGTCTAATAGGAAAATTAAGAATAGCATTTATCTAGAATCTCTCTACAAGGCAGTCCTACGTACTTGCCAATTTTCTCTATAGCCCATGCAGGAGCAATAGGTTTCAATAAGCAAAGAATATATAGATAGCTATCTATTATAGGTTTTTTTTTATGTGATTGATGTTCTATGAAGCATAGAAATGCTTCAGAAAATTAAAATGGAAAATTCATGCATTTAATGTAGACGATTGATGTACACGGTAGAAGTTTTGAAAAAGGAAAAGAAAAAAAAATATTTAGGAATCTTAGATGTGGCATGATTATTTTTTGTTGCTGGTTTGCCTGAGTTTCAAATAACACTTAAAATGGTAATATCAGCCTTCCTTCGCCACCTCCCAAAGTGCATCAAAATTACTTCTGTAAACTTATTGGTGAGAATTGCTGTAAATGATAAAATAGTCCAAATACATAGGGGAGTGATATGCTTGTGAGTAGTATTCAGGGTTTTTTTTTTCCCTCGCCGTCTCTTTCTTCATTAGGATTTTACTAGCCCAAACAGTGTATAAAGTTTGTGTGACTAAACCAAAGAAAAATAATTTTGATTCCTTAACTCATTGATAGATTTAAACTCCAAAATATTAAACAAAGATAAAAGAAGTAGTCTGGAAAGATTTTTCTCCCCCTCTCAAGCTATAGATGTAAAGTTTATATATGTGCCCAATTTAAAAACCCCTTCTTTAGTTGAATTTGCAAATGGTGCAGGTCTAACTTTGGTTCAATCCTACGATCTTGCTTTTAAAGCAGCTATAAATATCTTTCTACCTCTGAGGCTGAAGACTTGTAATAAAGTTTTGATTGAAACTCAAAGAGCTGAATCCATCCTGCTTGAAACCCTGAAATAGGAATCGAGAAAAAAAAAATGACGGGATGGCGATCCCCTGTGTTTGCAAAAGACGGTGCCTTATCTTCTGTATCAGTTCGTCTAAATTCATTAATATGCTGATTTTTTTTTTTCCTTTTATGTCCAAATAAGAATTAAAACTGAATCGCTGACCTGATCTTTCGACGCCGTTAATTGAAACTGGAAAAAGAAAATATTAATCATTCCCATCGTTTGTGAGAGCTGCAAATAACTCCCTCATTCATATCTGCATCCTTGGTTGCCCTTAGTTGCCAAACTAAAGGAGGAAAAAAAGAAGGAAGAGGAGGAAATAGAGCCGTTTTATAACACTGCTTTAAGCTCTTGAAGTTTTTCTTCGTAAATATACACTAAGTTGTTTTTTTTTTTCTTTTCTTCTTTCTTTTCTATACAGGAAGGTTCGTAAAAAATATTTCATTCTCCTGGTTTTAAGTTTTAATTTCTGCTCTTCGCGCTCCGTCTGCATCACGTTTTCCACGCGAAGTGAACAAAATAGCAGTCCTTTGGCATGGGGATCTCTTGATCATACAGCTGCAATTGTTCCATTCTGACGGGAACGGGATCTTTCTATTGTTACTTTCCGGTTATCTGGAATATAAAAAAGGGAAAGAGAAAAAGAACCGTGTTAAGGTTTTTAAAACGTGAGGTACTTGCAGTGTCAAGAGGTTTTTTTTCAAGGCAGGCCGAGATTCGGATCAAAGGAATATCTAAACAAATTATTAGGATATTAGATTGCAGAAAGGCTTGTGGCTTGGCGGAGTTAAAGAGGTATTGCAATCAGTACAAAAATTGCTTTCCTGATCGGATGATAAAAGCATTGGAAAAAAGCCCACCCAATTTTCCCCCCACTTGGATAGGGCAGGTAACAGTTAAGTGCTACTGTTTAAAATAGCTTCTCTATCCAGATGCTCTGCAGAAAGAAAAGAGTGGCAGTATTATTCTTTTTTTCCAAGTGGAGGAAATTCACCAACCCTCGCAAGAATGATTCCGACATTTAGAGTATTCCCTACACACATTGCAAACAGAAAAAAAAAAAAGATAGGATCTTCAATTTAGAAGTAGTAAACAGTCCTATTCCTACACACCCTTCTGGCGAAGGGTATTAAACAAGATACGCAGCAAATTCAGGATGAAGTTTTTGTACCTGGCAATTATAACCATGCACGATCATTATGGAGGGAAGGCCCACCTTAGCTTAAAAAAAACAGCCCAGCATGAATTAAGTATAACTGCAATATAGGCAAGGTGAACGTTTATTCATATTTGATATCCGTGTGCTGCTCTCTCATTAAATTTGCTTAGCGGTTTGTTTGTCTGGAACATTCAAGCAATGAGTAACACTTTTACTTCAGCCCTCGGCTTCAGATCACACGGGAATGAACAATTTATCAATTTGGCAATAAATTTGGCAGCTTCTCTCTTGAGGTAATAAATTACTGGTAGACATTGAAAAGAGAGTTGAACATCTGTTGGGCAACAAATGGCTTCAGAAGTATTAGTTCCTTCATCCACCTCTTAATTAAGGTACCAGAACCAAGTATTCTGAGACGTCATCACCCTTTTCTCTTTACCGTTTTCCATTTTTTTGTGGTCTCAGAACATCTTACATTCACGATCAGTAGTGACAAAACACACAACTGAAGCGCCTTGAACATATTGCAAAATGGAGGCTAGGCTTAACAGACTTCTGTGCAGTCATTGGATGATGACTGATGGGTAAGGAATTTGTCAATTCAACTCCAATTTGAGTTCAATTTGCATAACATGCTTCAATGAATCCACCTTCATCAAAAGTTTGAAGGGTACAGTTAGTCCTTTTTAACACCACCACTTGGGACCCAAAACTCCATGGTTAAGTGATGTGTTCATAAGTTGAAAAAACACATGATTACCCTGCTCAAGAAACAGCATCCTAAGCAGCCAAGATTGCTGTCATTAAATGAGGAATTTGGGTCCTTCAGTGAGACTCTCACAGGATGGTGGTGTCCCCAATGACTTTTGCTTGTGGGAAGCAGGCAAGGAAAGTTGCCAATCATGACCATGTGAATATGGGATGTGACAATGAGTGTAAATCAGGGGTGAAATCCAGCAAGTTCTGACAGGTTCTGGAGAACCAGTAGTGGAAATTTTGAGTAGTTCGGAGAACTGGCAAATGCCACCTCTGGCTGGCCCCAGAGAGGGGTGGGAATGGAGATTTTGCAATATCCTTCCCCTGGAGTGGGGAGAGAATAGGGATTTTTCAGTATCCTTCCCCTGGAGTGGGATGGGAATGGAGATTTTGCAGTATCCTTCCCCTGCCACGCCCACCAAGCCACGCCCACAGAACCAGTAGTAAAAAAAAATTGGATTTCACCCCTGGTGTAAATATAAGATCCAGTGGTAGCTACATTCCTTCAGCACCATCAAAAGTTCTACCTTTGTAGCAGCCCATAATACAGAATATGTAACTAAGGGAAAATGTAAATATAACAGGTAAGTGTAAAGGATATAAACGGATGACAAGACAAGCTCTTTGCTTTCTGCCCAAATAGGATCCACTTTAAGGAAAGATAGACATTAGATCTATTTTTTTTTTTAAAGATCAAAGGCCTGGGAAACTTTGCTCCCCATATTTTCTCCTTACCCTTCAAACCTGTGTAACAACATATTTAATCATTTTAAACAGTAAGACATTAATAGAGGGAAACCTTCCTTTGTGTGAATTCAATGATAGAAGTTTCTAAGTCAAGATTCTCAAGGGGCTTAAAAAACATGTCTCTTCTAAATAAAATGCAGTCAAGGAAATCTCCAAGAAAATTCAGGAGCCCTAATCAAAAGCGGGGTTTATCCTACTGAACATGGGTTGATCACGTTTTCTTCCTGAATCAGATTCTTTCTCCTCTCAATGCCTGTCATTTACATTGTCAAAAGGTACAGTATTTTTTGGAGTATAAGACGCACCGGACTATGAGACACACCTACCTTTTTTGGTGAAGAAAACAAGAAAAATAAATCTGCCTCTGCCTCCCAGCAAATTTGCCTCGTTGCAGCAAACAGCAAACAGCCTGCTTTACTTTCATTTTCGTTTTCAGCATGATTCAGCTTGATTAGTACAAGAAAAAAAAATCTACTCCCAGCAATTTACCTCCTTGCAGCAAGCAGCAGAGGCCAGCGCAAAACAGCTGAGAGCAAAACAGCTGAGAGTCGGGAGGCCAATCTAATCAACTTATGCTAATTAGGCTGTGCTGAAGCTGAAACAAGGTGTTTCTTCTTGCTGCTAGGAGGTAAACTGCTGGGAGGCAGAGGCCAAAGGGTGGGGGCCAGTGGGTAGGCAGGGCTACATTCGGTGTATAAGACGCACCCAAATTTTCACCCCGTTTTAGAGGAGAAAAAGATGTGTCTTATACTCTGAAAAATATGATAACTGCTTTCAAGCAGGCATTTGGACTTCAAGTTGGGAAAAACATTATCTAGGCTGCTTTGGAGGAGAATATATACTATGACAAAGATAAGAAGAACTGTAAGCCTAGCTCTTGGGTGCTGACTGGGTGAGGTGTACCGAAAAAGCTCTCTTACACATATGGTCAAATAAATATTTTAGGCAGAAAGAAATGGACCATAAATGTCGGGGGGGGGGAGGCTCTACGAAACAAGTGGTTGGTATACGTTTCACAAATCTGCAGTCTTATGCCTTGCTTCTCTCAATCATAAAATAACATTTTTGGGAATGGAGGGTGCAAGGAAAACAAATGTCTCCAGGGCACCAAAATTCTCTTGACATTTCTGCTGATTATGCTTCCTCGAGGCTACGTATCCTGGGAGAACAGCAAACTCTCGCTGTCAGAACACAATGGTGAAGCAGAACACTGCTTCAAACAGACTTACTTGGCACATCCAATTTTATCTGCTGGGACTCAAAATCTAATCAAAGTGGCTAAAAAGGAATCGGATACAAAAAACAAACAAACAAAAAAAAACCCGTAGAGTGACACGTGTCACGATCAAAACTCTCCACATCAAGCCACAACTTACATAGTTTGTTCCTGTGTGTGTGTGTGTGTGTGTGTAGACAGCAACAGAGGACCCAGCTTTTGATAAGCTCTTGGACCAGAAATTGCTTTGCTACCCTGTTTCTCCGAAAATAAGACCCAACCGGAAAATAAGTCCTAGTATGATTTTTCAGGATGCTCGTAATATAAGCTCTACCCCCCAAAATAAGCCCCAGTTAAGATTGTCAGCCAGATGGATGCATTTACTACCGTATTCCCCCCCCAAAAAAAGACCTAAACAGAAAATAAGCCCTAATGCGTCTTTTGGAGCAAAAATTAATATAAGACCCAGTCTCATTGTTGAGGAAACACGGTAGTTTCTACTTCCTGGCCTCACTTCCAAAAGAAACATTGTGTGGATAAAATGAGAAGGTTCTGCTGAACTTTCTTGAGCTTGTGTTCTTGTTATGGGGTTGTGAGAATACCGAAAGGAAAATGCACGATTGTGAGAAAAATGTGGAGGAGGAGGAGGAGGGTGGGAAGGGCTATGTGAGTGAGCTGGCAGTCAATGGTGGCTTAGGGAAAGTGACAGTTCCACAGTTCGAAACAAATCAAAGAGAGATCCAACCTAAAATTATGGACAAATTTCCCTGACAGTTAGGACAATTAACCAATGCAAGGCTTACCTCCAGAAGCTGTGGGTGCTCCATCACTGGAGGCTTTTAAGACGAGACTGGATGGCTACCTGTTTAAAGTGGTATAGGATGTCCTGTTTGAGCAGGGGATTGGACTAGAAGACTTCCAAAGTCCCTTCCAACTATGATATTCTATCTTCTAACTTGGGTTATTGGTCCATGGATTTATTAGCAGAACTGCATAGTGATATGGCAGCAGACTCCTGCAGTTTGATAATGAAGTCCTTGCCGTGTGTGTATGTGTGTGTGTGTGTGTATTTTTTTTTTTTAAAATTTGATTTATATGCCGCCCTTCTCCGAAGACTCAGGGCGGCTTACAATGTGCTCAGCAATAGCCTTCATCCTTTTGTACATTTATACAAAGTCAGCTTATTGCCCCCACAAACTGGGTCCTCAATTTACCTACCTTAGAAAGGATGGAAGGCTGAGTCAACCTTGAGCCTTGGCGAGATTCGAACCCTGCAGTAATTGCAGGCAGCTGGTCTTAATAACCAGCTTAATAACAGGGTGCCTTAAACCCCTGTACTACCAAGGCTCTTCCCCTTTTCCCCTTTTCCATTCAATTGTGTCTGATTCTTTAAGAGTGCCGGGACAAGTCCCTGCAGTTTTCTTGGCCTGGTTTTTCAGAAGTGGTTTGCCATTGCCTGTTTCCTAGGGCTGAGAGAAAGGACTGGCCCAAGCTCACCCTGCTGGCTTTGTGAGACTAAGACAGGAGTAGGGACGCACCTATTATTTGATACCTTAACCATTACACCAAACTGGCTCTTCGCCAAATATAGTCATTCACACATTTGAATAAGATGCACACAATTAAACATTAGAATTCATTATCACAAGATGCTGGCAGCTACCAAGGTGGCTGGATGAAAAAAGGTTGGAGCAGTTTATGATAATGGAATAGAATATCAGAAAAACGAGTTGGAGG